TGGACGGGAGTCTGCCGCCACCACGATCTCCAACCTCCTGTTGACTGTGCTGGACCATAGGGCGGTGCGCGAGGCAACTCGTCGGCTCCTTGCGCGCACTGCTGCAGGCCCTAGCCGAATTTCACCGAGGTGCCTGGATTCGTTGTCCGAGCATGTTACCCAGATGTTTATGCCATCTGAATGGAGGCTGGCTTGGCCGCCCGAGCGCATTTAAAGCGAGCCCGCTCGTCTCCCGAAGCCCGACAGAAACGCCCGCCTCATAATGCTGTCTCACACGATAATACGACTGTAAAATACACGCAGGCGGCCAATTTTGGCCTCTTGACAGGCCGGCTAAGAGCGCGACCAGATGTGGGGCACAAGAGCTGGCCATGCCTCGAGCGACTCGGCTTTCGATCACAGCTCGCAGCAGAAAGTGGGGCAATTTTGGGGGAACATACATGCGCGATCTTGCTAGATATGAACAAGAACTGCGACATGGTGAACCATCATGCTCTACTTTGAGTGGGACCGGCGCCTGGCTCCTCTCGCCGCCTCGCGCGGCTCCTCGCCCAGAACAACCAGCATCTCCGACGCATCAAAGCGCGTGGAAGTGCACCCAAAAGGTTTCGGAATGTCAAGGGGATTCTGGCTGGGCGCACGTGCGCCGCGCATCCACTATGCTTGCTGGCGCACCGCGCGGCGCAGCGAGTGTCCAGGGTCGCACCGCCGGTGACCCCTCGCACGCTCGTGGGCGAAACAGGCCTCCAGAGTATTTCCCAGGACCAAAAGGTCTCCAACTGCTTAGCGGTTGCTGCCAAGGTCTTCATCGAAGACTCCAAGGGGCTCGGCATGATCCTGGAGACGTCAAAGACCGGGACGGTCGCTGGATTTCGGAGGTCCTGGAAGGGGTTGCAGCGCCGCATGGGTTCCCCGAAGATCCCGCACAAGGCCCAGAAGGCTGAGGGTTATCCGAGGCATGGAGAAGCAGAGCCTTAAACGCCTGCGCGAACTTAAGCTTCAGTTCTCAATGCTAAAGGCCGCTGCCGGCAATCATGCGACGGCTCTCTGGCGCGCGGGCGCCCTCCCTTCAGCGGCGCATGGCGCTGCAGTTGCTGGAATCAATGATGTAGCCCTCCGAGGGTTGCGCCTTTTCGCCCCTGTTGTTGAAAAGGGCCCCCAGGTCGGTCGAGCGCCAGTGTCGCGGCCTGCCTCATTAGCCACGAGAGCAAACAATACGACCCCATATGTCGCGCTACTCTTTCCATAATTATCAAGTGTACTGAATAGGCTTGGGATGCCAGGATCCAGGACAGCAGGCTACACGGAGCTTGGGAAGTACTCCGAGAGACTTGGGCTGTCCTGGGCCTCTGTCAAGGGATCCTCGGGGGCTTGCTGGCTTTCGCTCAGGAGCACTGGGTGGAGCCCCATGGCTAATCGTATCGTGGCCGATGGCATTGGGCACACGTTTGACCTCAGAATTTTTCCGTGCAAGGGGATCCAGCAGTGGCAGGGCCAGCGTTTTCTTCCACATGTTTGTACTCCGCAACCTGGTGATCAGATATGGCATCGGGGATTGCGCAACTCGCAGACAAGTATCAAGTGCGTTCGTCGGTTCGGGGCGCTACCAGCGAACTGGGCTGGCAAACCCCCCATCCCGCAACTCCAAGACGCGACGAATCGGGCCCCCGCCAAGCCATGTGCCGCTTGCGCGATTCGGTAGACGGGGCGCTGGGGACATTGCCCTGAGTGAGTAGAGACCCACTCGGCCATCTTGGACATTCTGGAGGACCTCGGGACCGTCAGGGACACGCCGATGAAAGGAGGGACGCATCAACATGGCAAATCCCGCCAGCCCTCTGGGCGCAGGTGGTCTAGAGCGCTTCCTTTTCTAACCTCCTTCCTGTCCCTGCTCGGGAGGTTTACCCCTCCCCCCGTCCCTGGGTCTGGACGGGCTCCCCCGCGAGGGGTTGGAGCGACCGAGATGGCCCAAGATGACTTCAACGAGGCTTTAGCTAGCCCAAGATGGCCTCTAATATCGCCCAACATTTCCCAAGACGGCCCAAGATATCTCCAGCGCGCATCCGGGAAGCCCCAGGACGGCCCCAGGACGGTTTCAAATGCCCCCCGAGCCCTCCAAGGACCCCCCAAGATGCCTAAATGGGTTCAAAACCCAAGCAAAATCAATGCGGTTGGGCTTTTTCGCTTGTTCGCGCCCGATGGGCTCTCGAGGCGTCAAGATGGCCCCAAGATGGCCCGACAGAGCCCCGAGAGAGGCTCAAGAGGGCCCCCAGACGGCCCCAAGAGCGCCCGCGAGCGCCCAGAGAGCGGTCCAAAAGGACCCCAAGATGCCCCTCTTGGGCATCCGAGGTGGGGGAGGGGGGGGCAAATTCACTGCCCCCCTCTTCTTGAACGAAGGGGGCCAAGGAGGCCCCGAAGAGCCTCCCAGACCCCCCAAAAGAGCCCCAAGAGGGCCCCAAGACTCCCCAAAAGAGCCCCAAGAGAGCATCAAGAGAGCCCCAAGAGACCCCCAAGAGAGCCCCAAGAGGGTTCAAGAATAGACAATCCGATCATTCTACGACGGGATCCGCTGCGCCAGAAACGCTTACCACGGGGGGCACCCCGGCGCATCTTGCGCCGGTTTCCATCTTAAACCTCGCTGCGGGAAGCTACGTGTGATCCTTGTTTCTCACGGCCCCGGGCGGATGCAGCCGCCTGCGCTAGGGGCGTTTACCGCGGGGAGCACCGCGTCGCATCTTGCGCCGATTTCCATCTTAGGCTTTAATGCTGGAAGCTATGTATGATCCTCATTTGTTCGGAATGCGGCCGCGCCACTGCATGCTCCCAACCATCCCTGATTTACCAACTCCCCTGCTTTCCGTTTCTGGACGGGCTGGTGGGGATACGCGAAGCGTCAACAGTTACCTCGGGATCAAAACTACCTCGTCTTCGGGGTCTCGGAGCCTCCTGGGGGTCAGGCACGGGAGGTACCTGGCGGCCCGAGAGTTTCCTGGATAGTTCGTGGTACGCGTCCAGTGTTCCAGAGACTCGCCGTGGCCGATACTCATGCGTGCAGCTCGAGAAACGCTCCCTATTGCAGACCTGCGCTATCTACGGGCTCTTGCATTGTTATGTTCAGACGGTCGGCCGTGCTGAGAGATATGATGCCACAATGTTTTAGAAACGCATGCGGACCGTGAAATTTTCGCATCGGACCTCCTAGTGCTCGTGGTATAGGCATATCCGGACCGCGAAGCCTTCGCTCCGGATCTCCAAGGGTTCGTGGACAACGGCACCTGGCGGTCCGAAAATCCTCATCAAGGCCGCGCCAAGCATGCCCATGTATGGCGGGATTCTTGTTCAAGCTGATCGCCACCGCAGTCGATCTGAAAATTCGACTCGAATGGGCGCGAGCCCACTGTGATCGGGGGGGGGGGGGTGGGGGGGCGCGAGCCCACTGTGATCTCGACAGTGTGCTGGGCGATCCTCCAGAGATGGAAAAATGGCTCTGCAACTCCTGGGCTGATTACTTCGCCAAGGCGGGAGGACACACCTCCTCATCGCTTACATGCTTAGCCAGTCTGTCTCGGAGGCACTAAAATCCATAAGTCAACCCTATAGTACGTCTCCTGCTTGAAGGTGATCGTCTCGGGAGCCTGGGGTCGAGCGCCCCCGCCCGTGCCTACTCCGTCGGTCGAGTTTTCCAGGAAGGTCGCTTTCGATCGTGAGAATGATCATGAGCTCTGGTATTATGGCCGCTTGGAAGAGCGGAAGGGGCAGGGCGCGTGGGAGACTCGCTCGATCGGACTCGACCCTGGCTTGGCTGCGCACTGGTTCGGGCAAGAGATGTGAGCCTTCCGCAATCCAGCGTGCTGCGAGTGCTGAATATTTCCGTCCTTCAAATTTCGGGTAGGTGAGGTCAACGGACCCACGAATCGCCGCCTCCGATGGAGGCCCAGCCCGAGCCCCCTTTCGACTCTGGGGCCGCTCCGCGGGATCTCGGGTCCGCGGGGGAGTCAGTGGCCTCAGGTTCCCAGGTTCTTTTCGCTGAATTCGCTTCAGTCGAGCATCGTGTTTTCTTTGCTAACGGAGTATACAGCTGCCGCAAATATGCAGGCACCACCACGACCGAGGCAGCTCGTAGTGCCCGCAAGCTCCGTGTCCTCTGCGAAGAACTCGCGTCTGCGGAGAGCACCCGAACAAAAACAGTTGGCTATGATTGACGGGATCTCTCGGGGTACTGACCCGCACCAGCAGCAGCGCCAGGGGGCCCCAACCTAACTCGTTTTGTTCTCCTGGCTTGACCGGCAGGGGTATTCCCTGGCACCCGCCTCTGGTCCCAGGTTCGTTTCATGCCGCTGCGCGGCCAATCAGGGTTCCCTTTTTCCTGAGGCGTGTTTGGCTGGGACGCGCTCTCAATGGCCCTCATCCCTCATCCCTCCCCCTCCCCCTCCCCGTCATCCTCCCCCTCCTCCTCCTCCTTCCCCTCCTCCTCCTCCTCCTCATCCTCCTCGTTCCTCCTCCTCCTCCTCCTCCGCCTCCTCCTCCTCCCCTCCTCCTCCTCCTCCTCCTCCCAATTCCGCAGGTTTTCACCGCGGATCCGTTGTTGACCGTCCTGGGGCCCGAAAACGGCTCCCCGAGGCGCAAAAATATGAAAACCTTCTCGAACCCGTCCCTCACGTCCTTCCTCGTCCCTCACGTCCTTCCTCGTCCCTCCCTCGTCCCTTCCTCCTTCCTCGTCCCTCGTCCTCCTTCCTACGGCTCACCGATGCGCAAACCTTCCTCACGTCCTCCCTCGTCCCTCGTCCCTCGTCCTTCGTCCCTCGTCCCTCCTCCATCCTCCCTCCCTCCCTCCCTCCCTCCCTC